TGAGAGAGGGAATCTGACACTAATCTATAGACTAATGGACACTCCTCACCTGGTTGATTCTGTCCAGCACTCGCACTTGGAGAGTACTTCTTCTAACCCCCATAGCTTTAAACTTAAACTGTCTGCCATGTACCTCACACCATTGCTAAGAGGTCTGTAAGGAAGTGTGCATAAGTACACCAGCTGTCTACCATCCCTGTCCTACTGTCCCCATTTATTTGTACTCATTTCATGTGCTCATCTGTTTATACTTGTACCTGTTATCTCATACATGTTTGACAAACTAAATAAAATAAAATAAATAAATAAAATTTGTCATCTTCCATCTTACTATAAGCCTGTCATCCTCTGATTCTCCACTCTCACCTGCAGATCAAAGCATTTTCTTAATGGCACTCTCGGAGTTTTGTATTTTCAAGTAGAGAATTCATTGCCACACTAGGAAACCTTAGCAATGCATATACAAATAACCAGAAATCCACCCTATCATGCATTGATGAAGTTACCTAACCTAGTAATGAAATGATTGAAATGAAAACAAACTTAGAGAACACCAGGACTCACTGACCCAAACCTTAAGCAATGTAGAGTTTCAGTGTCCTTTCAAACACAGCCAAAAGCAAGAAAAGGCCAAATAGGTCCAGCCCCTTCCCATGCCACTTTTGGTGCATTTGATCATATGTCTGTTGGAAGTCATTGCCAGGGTGAAGGGATATTGTACAATCCCATCCTTGATCCAGGGATGGGTTTCAGCCAGTTTGGACCGGTTTGGGTAAACCGGATACTAATTTTACATCTGGTTCACCAAACTGATAATTGCAAGGACTGGCTGCACCTCACCTCTATTCTCCCAGGAGTCTCCATGAGGCCCGTTTTGGATGCCAGATAAGTGCAGGGCCCGTGTGGAGGCTCTGGGAGGGTGAAAAATGGGCCTCCAGAAGTCTGGAAACAGGCCCATTTCCGGCTTCTAGAGGGCCTCCAGAGTCCAGGGGAGGCAGTTTTCACTCTCCCGGAGGCTTAAGAAAAGCCTCCAGAACATGGGGAGGGTGAAAGCTTTCTCCCCCCTGCACCCTGCCGTGGTTCAGGGGGCCAAACAGGCCACACTTACCATGGCCATACCCATCCACCAACCAGGCAGAAAACCAGTTGCTAAAATTTTTGAATCCCACCCCTGCCTTGACCACATGCCTTCTTTCATGTTTCATACTTGTAACTCTGGACATTAATTAATGATTGAGTCATTTTCTCTTTGTTTGCATAATAAATTATGATCATTTGATATGCATTCCTTATGTTCTGATTTCTTGATACCTGTGAAAATTAACAACTGCTAGTAACATAAACACAGAATCAATTATCTGAAGATAATTTAACTTTTATTTTACATCATTTTATGCTGTGATACAAGGCATAGGCCACACAGCTTTTGGAACAACGTTTTACCCATAAAATATGTGAGAATCTAATATTGCCATCAATAATAAAATAATTTAGAAATGAAATTAAAAATAATCTCCCTTCCAAAGTGGCATAGAGTAATGTTGCAATAAGATTTTAATAAGAAACCTCTTGCCAAGATTTTTTAAACCTTTGTACTTGTTAATATAAGTAATATAATTTGTTTAATAATCATTCAATTACTAACATGGTATAGTATCATTGAATGAATCCACCGCTGAGTTTTGTAGGAGTGAAATATTGCAAAAATCATCTGAGTCACAATTCAATCAAACATCTTTGATCTTATATATGCCCCCAATTCAGTGCTTTGAATTGACAGTAACCTCCTACAAATTGAAGGACATTTTCAATTTGTAAAAGGGCTTGTGATTTATTGAAGAGTCCACTGTTTGTAAGAACCAGAGTGGGAATTCTTCATTTCATGTTATACCATCCCCCAAATTATTCCCCATGGTTCGTCACCCTTCCAGACAGTTTCTTCCCGTCCTTTTTAAAAGCCAAAGATGCTACGGTTTAACTTGAATTCTGGTATTCCTATTTCCATCCAAATAAAGGTAGTCCTTGACCTACGACCAAAATTACAAGCACAAAATTTATGTTGTTAAGTGAGAAATGTGTTAAATGAGTTTTGCCTCATTTTACAACATTTTGCCACATTTGTTAAGTGAATCGTTGCAATTATTAAGTTAGCAACACAGTGGTTAAATGAATCTGATTTTCCCATTGACTTTGCTTGTCAAAAGGTTGCAAAAAGGGATTGGGACACTGCAACTGTCATAAATCTGATCATGGGGATGCTGCAACAGTCATAGGTCTGAAAAACAGTCACAAGTCATTTTTTTCAGTGCTTTTGTAACTTTGAAGAGTCACTAAATGAAATGTTGTAAGTTGAGGACTACCAGTAACATGCAACATTATTGGGAGTTCTGATGCATGCACAACTCGCATCACTGCCTAAAGTACCCTGCTCTTTTCAACAGCACCAGCTATTCTAAACTTACATTTTCATGAGCCATGGTGGTGCAGTGGTTAGGATGCAGTACTGCAAGCTACTTCTGCTGACTGCTGGCTGCCGGCAGTTCAGCAGTTTGAGTCCCATGGGCTCAAGGTTGACTCAACCTTCCTTTCTTGCGAGGTCGGTAAACTGAGGATCCAATTGTTGGAGGCAATATGCCAACTCTGTAAACTGCTTAGAGAGGGCTGTAAAGCACTATAAAGTGGTATATAAGTGTAAGTGATATTGCTATTGCTATTTTCGGTTTTAATGTACAGACCTTCTTTTCACAGGTAAAGAATGAAGAAACTTACATTGACAGGCTATAGCATTCACTACAGATTGAAATAAGCACAATAAATATGAAGCACATTATTTTAGTGTTGCAGATACCACAGTCACATGACATAATAGATCCTGCTGTCAGTATAGCTTACTCCCAAGAAGTTACATTCACAGAGGGTCTTTATAAATAAGTGTTTTGTTTCTCCATTAAAACAATGTTTTGAGAATGTTTAAATTGACAGTATGCACTAGTGACAGCCTTTGCAACTTTCAAACATTTTTCGCAGCATGAGCCGCAATGAATCAAAAGTGAGCTAAACCAGATGGGCTTGAGTTTTATAGTACCTCATTCTTTACCCATCCATGATATTTCATTTCATTTGACAGAGAAAAATCAAATTAGAAAGTCTGGAATATTTGTTTTTACATGGTCACCAAGCATCTGGATTGAATTTTCAAAGAAAAAAAACTTACATTCAACAGAATTTCTCTTCTCTCAAGAGTTTGATTTAGTCCTTTAGATTACAGGGGGAAATATGAAATTAAAGTCATCAACTACTATGTTTTCAGCAATTTCAAAAACATAAACCTCACTCCGGTGATTAAAAAAGGTGAAAAATCCAGAAGGAAATCTCAACCTAAGAGGCTTTCTCAGTAGGGTTATTTCACATAAATACATCTTGATGCATTCATTAACATAAACATGCACAGACATCACAGAATATTTGCCAACATTAGTCAGTGTCAAATATTACTTTCAAGGACTGTTTAGAAGACAGATCATTTATGAAATCATTCTAATTGTTTTTGATACTCACAGTTTCTGTCATTAGCAGGGCAAACTGACAAATTATCAATGGCATATTTGTGCTACTGTTGACTTTTGCTGGCAGGCAAAATAAGGGATCAACATACTTAAATGAAGATATGTATAGAATCTTGTTTTTTGCCATCTGTTTGTTTATACCAAGAGCTGCATAAATTATACCATTTTCTAATGTAGATTATGCCATTGGTTTTTCACAAAAAAAGAGCTGTCCATGTGGGAGATTGCACTGATTGGTTTTATATGGATTTTCTCATTATGTAAATAATTTTCTTCTGTTAATAGCCTAACAATTGGCTAAGGAAAAGGGTTACTTTCAGGAGTTGTCTTGTTTTGAATTTGGGATGATTCATTAAATAAAGGCAAACTCATTTTAGAATTAAACAAGAGGGAAATGAATTATTTTAGAAAAAAATCAATCAACTATAAAATTAGATAGTGTTTACATCATTGGTGCATTATATTAAGATGATTATGGGACTGGAGACTAAAACATATGAAGAACAGTTGCAGGAACTGGGTATGTCCAGTTTAATGAAAAGAAGGAGTAAAGGAGACATGATAGCAGTGTTCCAATATCTCAGGGGTTGCCACAAAGAAGAGGGAATCAAATTATTCTCCAAGGCACCTGAGGGTAGAACAAGAAGCAAT